GAGAAAAGACGGGAAATCAAGGCCGAGACGACAAACAGTGGAAGGGCGAGGAAGGGAAGGGAGTGGCAGTAAGAACAAGCGTAAAGAAGAGAAGAAAAAAGGAAGAAGAGAGAGGGAGAGGGAGATATTAAGAAACATAAAACATAAAGAAGATGAAAGGAAGGGATGTGCAACGAAGCAGTATCGACATATGAAGAAGGAGAGAGGACCCCCCCTCTCCCTCACCCTCCCCGGCCCTTCTGCCCGCCCGCGCCGCGCAGGTTCTCTCGCTCCGACGCTTGTCCCAACTGCAAGAGCAGCGTCTGTCTCGAGGCCGACGGCGGGGACGACGGCGAGGGCGACGCCGCCCTCGCTGCAGGCGTGGGCTTGCGGGGCGAGTGAGCTGCTCGCTCGCGGGCGTTTGGTCTCGTGGCGTGGAGCAGACCACGCGACATATGGGTGTATGGCTCCGGGTGGCGACGCGGCGGCGCCCGGCGGCGCGGGGACGGGGGTGTCGGGCTCGGGGGAGCGAGCGCGGGCCGCGGCTAGCCGCTGCACAGTGGGCTCGCGGTACGATGCTACCTGCCGTATAAGACGTGTGTATACTCTCCGGTGTATCTGCGAGAACACGTCTCGCCGTACAAAGACCTGCTCGCGTCTCTCAGACATCACAGTGCCACCGCAGCTCATTTAGAGGGTGCGCAGCGTCCTAATCTAAAATCTGAGGATTCAGGATTGAGGGCTTGCTTCAGTGAGGCCAAAGTGAGTTTATGGATGTGTGAGAACGGTACGGGACACGAGGAGGCACGCGGACCGTCTCGTCGGTGACTCTGCTGCACGCCGTTTCAGAATTTTTCTCAGCGTGAGCGAGACGTGGAAGAGTGCCACCGTCGGGTAGGACGGGTCGGCCCGGAGCATCGGAGTAGCCGTCGTGGTCGCGGCGAGCAGCGCCGGCCACTCCGGCGCCACGTCGGCAACGTGGGAGCATGTCCACCGCCACTTCGCGGTCGCAGCGCTGCCTGGGGTGTCGACGGGCCCCCGGGGGCGACGGGGGTGCTCTCCGGCCGCGGCGGCCGAAAACGGGGACCTCTATTACGGTCTATTAATGAAGTGATGCACTTGATGCAAAGGTGCCATTGTGCTCTACTACAAAAGTTGTGTAAGATGCCCAAGTCTCAGACACTCAATCCTTAGCGGAGCTGAGTTCTGACGGTGTGAACACGAGCAACCGGAGTGACGACCGGGACCGGGCCGTACGCCGGGAGTGCCCCGACTAGCAGTGACGGGCGCGGACGAGCGAATGAGAGGTCGCTATCTGTGGAAGATGTGTTGTTAGGGACTAGGACTGCCTATCTCTCACTGAAAGGGACCTCTCATTCGCTCGTCCGCACCCGTCACCGCTCACGGAGTGCTCCGCGTGCCGCACCGGCCGCCGCCGGCCGCCGGCCGCTCACGGCAACGGAACAGTCTTACTACTCCGCAACGTTGAGCTGGATCAAACTGAATAGTGCTCCTGAAAGCCCTCTCTCTGGGCTCTGCCACACAGTAGCAGCTCATGACGAGCAGCTGCTGTGACTGTATTTGTAGCCATTTTTAGGCTTCAACTGGTCCCAAAATAGTAGCAACACCTCATGAAAATCAGTCAAAAAAGCCCCAAAAAATCGGCGCCTGCGGCGGGCTACCTGGGACTGCGCCCCAGACCCCCTTGACTGGGGGGACCCCCCGCGAGAGCACCCCCGTCGCCCCCGGGGGCCCGTCGACACCCCAGGCAGCGCTGTTGTCGCCCAAAACGCCGCGATGTACCTTTTCGGGCAAACCATCGAGCTGCATGTCGATTTCGACTTGACGGCGGCATGGAGGCATCATGCCTCCATGCCGCCGTCAAGTTGGAGCCAGTCTGCGGCGACCACAGCGCTCAGAAAGGTACATTGCGAGCTTTTCAGAGTCAAGCGATTGCGCGAAATCCCACAGTGGTGGATTTTGGGGCGCTGCGCACCCCCTAGCTCATTCAGCCTGGCTGCGACCCAGTCGAGGCTCTCCGGCTGCAATCCCTCGTCACCGCCGCGCTCCCACTCGAAGCTCACCTCGTACAAGGCGCCGGGATGCACGGGCTCCCTGTCGGAATATTCCTCCTTTTCGGATACGAGCGAATCAGAGAGCTAGCAGCTACGAGTCGTCGAAAGCGGGAGGGCCGTTCGTGAGCTGTCGGTGACTCGCCTTTTAACGGCCCGTCCCTGCGTGGGGTTGTGCGCGAATGCGTTTCAACAGTAAGTACAAAGAACGTGACCGCCGCCTAGCTTACGTGACCGCCGCCTAGAGCTTACGATGGCATCGATGTTGGTGTGCGTCACCGCCGTCAGCCGTCACCGCTGCACACTGGGTCAGCCCCGCCCTCCACCATCCTCCCACCTCGTCCGCATCCCTTCGAGATCGAATCCCCCCCCCCCCCCCCCCAGCGTAAGAATATCGGGCGCACAGACAACCCCGCCACCTCACTGCCCCGGCGACCACACCTCGATCTTCTTTGGCAGCAGCTGGTTCGACAGGTCCTCTCCGTGGCCCAGGCGGCCGCTTTCGCCCAGGCCCCAAGCATAAACAGCGCCATCGACGGCGAGGGCGAGGCTGTGGTCGCCTCCAGCCGAGACAGCGACGGCGCGCCGCCCAGCGAAGGCCTCGATCTTCTTGGGCAGCTGCTGGTGCTGCTCGTCGCCGTGGCCCAACCGGCCAAAGATTCCACTGCCCCAGCTCCAGACGGCGCCGTCGGCGGTAATGGCAAGGCTGTGCAGACCTTCCGCCGACACAGCGACGACGCCCCGCCCAGCCAACGCCTCCACCTTCTTGGGCAGAGGCTTGCGCTGCTCGTCGCCGTGGCCCAACCGGCCAAAGGCTCCAGAGCCCCAGCTCCAGGCGGAGCCGTCGGCGGTGATGGCGAGGCTGTGCTCGAAGCCAGCCGACACAGCGACGACGCGCTGCCCAGTAAAGGCCTGGATCTTCTTCGGCAGCAGCTGGCGCTGCGTGTCGCCGTGGCCCAGCTTGCCAAAGCCTCCACCGCCCCAGCTCCAGACAGCTCCGTCGGCGGTGGTGGCGAGGCTGTGATCTTCCGCCGAGACAGCGACGACGCGCTGGCCAGCGAAAGCCTCGATTCTCTTCGGCAGCAGCTGGTCCTGCGTGTCGCCGTGGCCCAACTGGCCATCGCCTCCAAAGCCCCAGCTCCAGACGCTGCCATCGGCGGCGAGGGCGAGGCTGTGGCCAGCTCCAGCCGCTACAGCGGCGACGCGCAGTCCAGCAAAGGCCTCGATCTTCTTTGGCAGCAGCTGGTGGTTCTGCTGGTCGCCGTGGCCCAGCGTGCCAAAGCCTCCCCAGCCCCAGCTCCAGACGTCGCCATCGGCGGTGAGGGCGAGGCTGTGGCGACCTCCAACCGAGACGCTCACGGCGCGCTCGTCACCCAGCGTCGACGGGAGGCGGGTCGGTGTGTTGAGCCGCGTCACGCCCTCGCCGTGGCCGAGCAGCCCGGGGATTGGGTTGTAGTCCGGCGCCGAGCCGCACGACGAGAGCCGCCCCTCGCCGTCAATGAAGAGGCTGTAGTAGCAGCCTGCCGCCGCCGTCGCCGGCGGGTTGGACTCGCGAAGCAGCGCAGAATAGCACAGCCACCGCACGGCGCAGGTCTCGCCCTCGGGCTGCACTGGCAGCTCGAAGCCGCGCTCTTGCGCCCACAAGCGGATGCCCTCCACCGCAAGCGAGGCGTGAAAGAGATGGGAGACGGCCGCGACGCGAGCGATGTCGACGGGGCTGTCGCAGCGAGAGAGGACGCGCTCGAGGAGCTCCCTGGGGAGGTCGAGGAGGCGGGTCGGCGGCGGCGAGGCGGGCGAGCGAGCGGCGGCGGCAGTGGAGGCGAGGCGGCGCGAGGGGCGGCGCGGCGGGGTGGACATCGCGAAAAAAAGAAAAATTCTTGTGACAGCGGCGTGAGCAGTGCCGTGCAGTGCGTGTGCTATGTGGGGCAAGAATAGCGCCAACGTCACGGACACGACCGCCATATCGGTGCACGGCACGAACCCGCAGAACCTGGTCGGCGATCCCTGAGGGAGGGTGTAGATAGAGGATGTAGAGTGTAGAGCGCTGTAGAGCTGTAGAGCTGTAGAGCGCTCTGGAGCGCTGTAGAGCTGTAGAGCTCTACATCCGCCGCGGGACGAAGCGCCTCCGTTGTAGAGCGATGTAGAGCGCGATTTTGCTGTAGAGTTTGTTGTAGAGGCTCTACAGCCAAACCGCCGGGAAGGCAGTGACTCAAAGAGGTCGAGCCGCGCTAATGGGGGGTCTCCGAGCTTACTGGAGCTCTGATGGACAGCCCTGACTATCCCTGACACACAGAGAGTCACTCCGACGGCACACAACACCCTATAACTGCGTCATGACCAGCCTGCCATGTGTCGCCGGTGCCGCATTCGTCGCTGTGCTTCTTTAGCAGGCGGTGGACTGTCGGCTGCGAGGACGGTCGCATTTGCGCGAGGCGAGGAGAGAGCATTGTTGAGCGTTGCATGCGCCATGCCTCGCGCCAGCGCGTGCGGGAGCTCCTGGCTGAGCGTTGAGTCCAGGCAAGTTGCGCTGGCCACTCCTATCGCTACGCCGAGCCGAGCTGACGCGTCGAGGCGCCGGCCAGTCGCAGCCGTGAGGCATGCCACAGCAGCAGAGGCACCTGCCACCCATTGGGCGGGCAGACAGAAGGCCAGGGCAGCACTGGCAAGTGCAACGCGCCTCATGTCGGAGAGCGACCGTGCCTCGTTCGCCGCTTATGATGTAGAGTTTGTTGTAGAGATTTCACGTTGTAGAGCGCCTCTACATCGCTCTACAACGCAGGCAGTTCGTCACGCGGCGGATGTAGAGCTCTACAGCTCTACATCGCTCTACAGCGCTCTCCAGCGCTCTACATCTCTACAGCTCTACAGCGCTCTACACTCTACATCCTCTACACCCTCCCTCAGTCTACACTCTATCTACATCCTCTACACCCTCCCTCAGGGCGATCCATTCCCTCCACACCTCCGGGTATTCCTCCGTTCGGATGCATCGCATCGTCGCTTCCCAGTATGCTCGTTGCAGCCACTCTGGCGCACGCAGCAGTAGGTATGCGTTGAAGCCGTCCTTCCCCGTTCCCTTCTTGGCCTTGTACTTTGTGAGGGCTCGTTTGAAGTTCTCCCACGAGCATACTCTCCCCACCACGTTGGTCGTGTCGTCTCGTTCGTCTTCGTCCCTCCCCCTCTGTGCGCCATTGTTGTCGCCGCCGCTGCCATCGCTGTTCTGCGGCAGCAATTCTTTTATTAGCGTCGCCATGACCCTCGTCGCTACTGGGACGGCCCTGAGCGTCCGCTCTCCGTGTCTGGCCGCTGCCGCCCTCACTGCCGCGGGCTCCTCGTGCGTTATGTCCGGTCCTTGTTGTGGCGGGGGCGCCTTCTCTATGATTCTCGTTATCTTCGCCGTTCGTGCGGTTCTGCGTCCCCTCGCTCGGTTTAGTATCCGGAATACGTCTCGTATCAGTCCTTGCTTTGTGATTGTGTCGTCGTTATTAGTCGCTCCAGCTCATGTACCGCCGCTCTCCCACCGCTCTCTCCGTCGAGTCCATCTTCTCAAGTCGTTTGCTCATTTTTTGCAGATGGTGTCGGAGAAGTTTACATTACCTTACCTTCTAGTCGCTGTCGCGGTGTCGGCTCGGCACGAGAAATCCGCAACCAACAACAGGGGAGGTCTGGCTCGATCACTAAGCCGAGCTGACAAGGTCTAGTTTACAGGCTGATCAAAACAGCCGCCGTCGTCCGAGTCCGAATCCTTTGCGTCCGCCTCCGCCTGCGACGCGTCCGCCCGACTCTCCTCCTCCTCCTCCCGCTTCACCACCGCGGCGGGACGCGCGCGCGCGTACGCTAGCGCCGCCTCGACTGGCGTGCCAAAGTGACCAAGGTGCGTCCGCTTGGAGCCGACCTACGGGAAAGGTCCGGGAAAGGTCCAGGAGAAGCCTAGGGAGAGCAGGCGGCCCGCGGACACAACGACCTGGTACGACGCGACGAAGGGGAGCTTGCGGCTCTCTGACGAGACGGCCACGCCGCGGTAGCCCTATGGGACGTGCCAGGGACGTGTCGGGGACGTGTCGGGGACGTGTCGGGGACGTGGCAGGGACGTGTACCCCCTCCGCACGACTCGGGTGAGGGGCGGAGGCGGGGCTAGGGTGTGGGGCGGAGGCGCGGCTAGGGCCAGTGCTAGGGCGAGGCTGACGAGGCCAGTGAGGGGGGAGCGGGGGGTTTGGGGGGAGGGGGGGTTGCTGAGGCTGCTGCAGTGGCGCATCTGCCAGGGGGGTGGTGTGTGTGTGTCGTGGTGGTGGTGGGGGGGGGTGGGGGGGGGGTCGCACCGTCCGCGCCGTCGCGCTCAGCTGCAAAGTCACGCCCTCTGCCTCAGCGACGCGTGGGGCCTGAGGTACGGTCATGTGAAGCCATGTACACTTCTCCGCACACTCTTCTCCGCACAAGGTGGTGGGGCAAGGGCCAGGCTAGTCCCTCGCGGCTAGACGTCTAGAAGACAGGAGCCCGACGGCATTGAAAGATAGTGGGAGAAAACCTGCGTGCGTGCGTGCGTGCGTGCGTGCGTGCGTGCGTGCGTGCGTGCCTGTGAGTGTGTGTGTGTGTGTGTGTGTGTGTGTGTGTGTGTGTGTGTGTGTGTGTGTGTGTGTGTGTGTGTGTGTGTGTGTGTGTGTGTGTGTGTGTGTGTGTGTGTGTGTGTGTGTGTGTGTGTGTGTGTGTGTGTGTGTGTGTGTGTGTGTGTGTGTGTGTGTGTGCGTGCGTGTGTGTGTCTGTGTGTGTGTGTGTGTGCGCGCGCGTGTGTGTTGTGTTGTGTGTTGTGTTGTGTGTCGCGGGGCCTTGAGCAGAGACTCAACCGCCGCCCACGCGCCTACGACGAGCACCACCGGAGATCACCACCGGCGACCAGAGGGGGGAGTGGCGCACACAAAACTGCGCGCGCGCCGCCCGAGCAGTGTCGTGCTGTGCACAGCTTCCGCTTCCGTCGCGGAACGCCACCCGCCCCTCCGCCGCCGCCGCCATCCTCGCCCTCGCCGCCACCCTCGCCCTCGCCGCCGCCCTCGCCGCCGCCCTCGCCGCCTCCCTCGACCTCGCCGCCGCCGTCATCGCCGTCGTCGCCGCCGCCGTTGTCACGGCCGTCGTCATCGCCCTCGCCGCCGCCCTCGCCGCCGCCGCCGCCGCTCGCCGCGCCGCTAGGTCGCAGCTCCGTGTCCTGCCCCCCCTCCCCCTCTGTTGCGGCGCCGCGGCCCTCGGCGCGCGCGGCGGCGCCCGAGCTCTGCCCGCGAACGCTCTCTTCCCCACCACCCTGTCCGCGCATGGGCGTGGCCGCAGGGCCGAGCGCCGCGTCGACCTCGGGGCAGGAGTCGACCTCGCCGCCGCCGCCCGCAGCCCGCCTGCCGGGAAACAGCCGAGCTGCAGCCGACCTGCAGCCGAGGTTCAGCCGAGGTGCCGCCGAAACATAGCCGAGGCGCAGCCGAGCTGCAGCCGAGGTGCAGCCGAAACGTAGCCGAGGTCCAGCCAAAGTGCAGCCGAGGTGCAGCCGAGGTGCAGCCGAGGTGCAGCCGAGGTGCAGCCGAGATACGGCCGAGATACGGCCGACGGCAAGGCAGCTGCGCGCTAGCACCATCTCTCGACTCGAGGCTTCCCTCCGTCGCCTCTCTTCTTGAGGCATCTCTGCGGCGCCGTCTGGACAGCGGCGCGGCGAGGCAGCTCCGAGATGGCAGCCGAGCATGCCTGCCCCGCCGCAATCCGCAAGCGTTGCACAGCGGCTCCTCTGCTCCGTCCTCCCACCGCCACTTCGGCGTCTGCGTCGCGCCGCAAGCGACGCAGCGGCAGCGCCCCTCCTCCTCCCGCGCCGCGCGATCGTTGAAGACGCAACCGGCGCACGTTCCGCAATCCTCCAGCAGCAGGCAGCCCTCGCAGCTGCCGCAGCTCCACGGCCGCTGCCTCGTGCGCTTCTTCTTCCGCGACGGCGCCACCGACCCGTCGGCAAACACAGCACCCGCGTCCCCGCCTGTGGGCGCGCCTGTGGGGCAAGTTCCAAGAAGGCTCCGAGAAAGTTCCGACAAAGTTCCGACAAGGTTTGCGGCGGCCCCGTCGCCTTCGCTCCCGCCTTCGGCCGCCGCGGCGTCGCTTCGCGGTGTGTGCCCCTCCTACGTGCATTATACGCCAGCCTCGGGGCGGGAGGACGGTATCGTGCGGTGTGTTCAGAGCACCGCGTGAATAGGAGGGTTACGAGCACAGTGAGTACATCACTGCCTTCTGACTGCCGTCGCTAGCTCTCCCATCTCGACTGTCCGTGCGTGTGCGTCTTTGGCCCGCGGCTGCGTCTTTGCGTGAGCACAGCGGAGTGCGGCCGCATGCAGCTGAATACGTGTCCTCAGCATCTAGGGTGGGGTGGGGTGGGGGTCGAAGTAATGGACCCCAAATCCTCAGCTTCTAGGGTGCTTCCAGCTGGGGTGCTTCTAGGGTTCCTCTCCTTGGCCGCCTCGCGCGCGTACGCCACCGCCGCCTCCGCCGCAGTGGCGTACGAGCCTGTGGACATGTCTCGGACATGTCGAGGACGTGTCGCGGACGTGACCTCCGCCGCCGTGGCGTGGGTGCCGAGGTGGCGTATGCCCGACTGGGAGATGCCTATGGAAGAGAGGGGGAGATGTGGGGGAGATACGGGGGAGATATGGGGAGATGTGCCCGACTGGGAGATGCCTATGGAGCAGGCGGCGACACGAAGGTGGACGATGGCTAATAAAGAGGTGCCCCCCCCACCACTGGGGGAGATGCCCGCGAGCTGCAGCTGCGCAGAGAAGGGGCGGGGGCCGAGCTGCCGGCCCCTCGGCACATTGACCCGCACGCCCAAGTAGCCCGTCTCGGACCTGTTCACGGCCCGGCGTGTGAAGAGCGGGCCGGCTCGCGACAGCCGGCCCACAGCAGCGCCGTCTCGGACCGGCCGCTAAGGTGTAGCTTCAGCCCCTCCGCCTCCTCCACCACCGGGGTCTGCAGCAGCGCCCGCCGCGCCTCCGCCCTCGCCGCCGCCGCCTCCGCCTCCGCCTTCGCCGCCTCCGCCGCCGCCGCCGCCTCCGCCTCCTTCGCCTCCGCCTCCTCTCCCCCCTCCCTGTGGGCCGCCGCCTCCGTCGCCGCCCGCCCTCGGCGCGCCTGCTCGAGCTCTGGGTGAGGTGGGGAGGACAGAGTGCGGCGGGGGGCGCTCTTCTTCCGTTTCTGCGGGAGGTGGAGCTGTGGGAGGTAGAGCTGCGGGAGGTAGAGCTGTGGGAGGTGGAGCTGCGGGACAGAGTGCCTGCTCGAGCGCCCGCGCGTACGCCACCGCCGCCTCCATCTTGGTGGCAAACTGGCCGATGTGCTGGAAACCCCTCCGCTTCCCGCCCCCGCCCCCGCCCCCGCCGCCCCCGCCGCCCCCGCCGCCCCCGCCGCCCTTGGCGGCGACGTTGAGCTGCAGCTGCGCCTTGAAGGGGCGCGACACGCTGCCCGGCCTACGTGTACCATACCCTCCAGAGTCTCGAATCCAGTGCGGTGGCCGGGCCTACGTGGAGGAGACGCCAACCTCGGGGCGGGAGGACGGCATTGTGCGGTGTGTTCAGAGCACCGCGTGAATAGGAGGGAGGCGAACACAGTGAATGCAGCGGCACACTAGAGAGAGGCGTGTCGCCTAAGCATTGTGCTTCTAGGAGGCCGGGCTTGATGTCGACGCCGCGGTAGCCCGTCCGGGAGCGCGAGCTGAGGTGCAGCGCCACCTACGGGTGTGCGTGGGCGTGTCGTCGACGTGTCGTCGACGTGTCCGCGCGGCGACAAGCTCATCGTCACCTAACAGGGGCGGGGTGTGCGGACGCGTGTCCTGGACGCGTCCACGACGTGTCTGCACGAAAAGGCGAGCGGCGGCCACCCCGTCCGGCGACACAGCCACCGCTGGCGCCTGCAGCTCTCGGAGCACGGCCGGCGGCAGCCTCTCGAGCCTACACACACAGGTAGGGGACCGGCGTCCAGGGGACGGTCCAGGCAGAGGCCACTGCCAGCGGCGGGCGAGTCTCGGGCCTACACAGAGGGGACCCGGTGTCCAGGGTCCGGTCTAGCCAGAGGCCACTACCGGCGGCGGGCGTGTCTCGGGCCGGAGCAGCGACTGCAGCGACTTGCTCTGCCGCCCCGGGACGCTCGCCGACGTCTCTTCCGAGCCCTCGCCGGCAGCGCCCTCGCCGCGAGCGCCACCGCCGGCAGCGCCCTCGCCGCGAGCGCCCTCGCCGCCAGCGCCCTCGCCGCCAGCGCCCTCGCCGCCCTGCACCCCGCCCCCCCCCTCGGCGTCGGCGGCGGTGGTTTGGGCGGCGGCGGTGGTTTGGGCGGCGGCGGTGGTTTGGGCGGCCGTGGCGGAGTCGTCGATCAAAGCGGCGGGAGGAGCTTCTGGAGAAGCGAGAAGGGCGGCCGGATCGGCGGCGGGAACAGCGGCCGCAGCCGCCGCGAAGCATGTGGCGGGAGTCGAGGCTGCGGCAGCAGATGCGGCAGGCGAGGAGGTCGAGCGGTGTCCGCCGGAGGCTTCAAGTGTGCTGTGTGCCTGCGCGCTCGCCCACCGCTCGGCGTGTCGCAGCCACCGGGACAGCTTTGCGCTCACCTCGGCGAACGTGGTGCCAGACCCGGCCAGCACGGCTGAGTCGGTCTCAGAGAGTCGGGCAAGCGAATCGCGCACGAGGCTCAGAGCGACTCTGCCCTCGCCGTCGCGGTACGGAAAGAGGCGCTGCTCGCGCAGGAGGAAGCGCGACGCCGTGAGGGCGCCGACGTCGATGGTGGAGAGAGGGGCGTCACTGTAGCTCGCCGCCATTTTTGGCGGTTGTCTCCGGTTGTCTCCGCCTTGCCGCCAACACTCAATACCGGAGTGTTTTTTTGGACTACCTGAGTGTTTTTTTTTGTACCGATCGGCCGTGATTGCGAACCCTGCGCGGGAGGAGAGAGCGCGAACCCTCAATCTTCACTCCGAGCCTCGACGCTCAGAGCGAGAGGGCTCGGCGTCCCCCATGACCCCCTTCGTTCGGTAAGGGCGGGTCGAGGTCGGAGGTGTGTTCTCGAGGTTCTCGAGGTGGATATCCTTTGGCCGCGTTGGCGGTTGGGTAGCGAGCATTGTACAATACCAAACAATTTGTTTGTCAATGTGTGTCGGATCAAGAATACTCACTCACACACACGAGGGAGTGTGATCTCCCTCACCCTCAACGGGCGTCCAATCGTGCAGGGTTGTGGGTGTGGTCGGCGACTAGCCGGGGTCGTCCTCCCGATGGGGGACTAGCACTAGCCGTCTTCCACATAGATTGTCCCTCAGGTCCCTGGTGCTCGCCACCTCGCCTCATTCTTTTCGTACACCCCAGTATGGAATGGGACTATGGTCTATGCCAAAGCGCCGCTCGTTACATTTTTTGGCGGGGTTTGCACGCCTTTTTGCAACTAGTCTCCCGGCTCGTTGTGCGAGTATATGGGCCACGATGTCTCAAATATGAGGGGTTTTGACTCCTACCAGCTCCTGACGCTATCCCTGGCAGCTCTAATGGCCAGGATCGGTAGTGTTGTGATAGAGGGTGCCCATACTAGCGCAGGAGCTGCCACACTCGCCCGGACCGTCCCCTTCTGGGGCCGGTTCCGCAGCCCGCGAGAGCCGACCGCGGGGCTGTGCCGCGGGTGCCTACTGCCGAGTGCCACAAACACTGCGCCGTCCCGCCATCACCTACAGGCTGTCTTGTGTGATGGTTGGGATGTCCAAACGCCACCATCTTGGCTCTTGCGACCTCAAACCCGCGAGCTGTATGGGTGGTCCTGACGTCGACAGACGCCCGATGACCACGGTGAAGCTGAGCCGGAACGCGTCGACAAGTCTCGTCTGAGCCCGTGGCGGTCGCCGGCTGAGTCGCCGTACACGGGCCGGTACCTCAGGCGTCACCTCCGCAGCCTCAGGTCTCACACTCTATCACCTCCGCCGGGACGCCTTCGGTGTCACGCTCGGCGGCGTACTTTCTGCAGCTCCATCTCGAGTACGGCGTCGAGTATACTCACTCCTGTTGGATACACGCACTCCCTGGGACCCAGGGAGTGCGTGTATCCAGCAAGCGGTGCGTCCCGGCAGCGCGCGCAGGCTGCGGAGCTGCCACAAACTCGAGACACGCTTTTTGGGACATTTTCGACGCTTTTGGCCCATATACTCGCACAACATGCCTCCCGCGTTTCCACATATATCATAATATTCAATTAATATTACCGTAATTCCAACTCGTCGTGTGTTGTGTGCGAGCCCGAAACACCCGTCTACATCAAGACAGCTACGGGATAGGCCCGCGCCGTCGTCAGCGGCGCCACCGCCTCCCAAGTGTTCGCTGCCGGGTCGTACCGCTCCACCGAGCTGAAGTAGTCACCGTCGTAGCCGCCCACAGCGTACAGCTTGCCGTCGAGCACCGCCACGGCGAGCTTATACCGCGCCTCTGCCATCGGCGCCACCACTTCCCACACATCCAAGGCAGGGTCGTACCGCTCCACCAAGCTGAGGACGCCGTTGTTGAAGCCGCCGTGCCCGCCCACCGCATACAGCTTGCCGTCGAGCACCGCAACTGCGAGCTGGTCCCGAGCCGCCATCATCGGCGCCACCTCCTCCCACGCGTTCGCTGTCGGATCGTACCGCTCGACCGAGCTGAGCCAGCCGTCGCCGCCGTACCCGCCCACAGCATACAGCTTGCCATCGAGCACCGCCACGGCGTGTTCCTGCCGCGCTGTCGCCATCGGCGCCACCGCCTCCCACGCGTTCGTCACGGGATCGTACCGCTCCGCCGAGCTGAGGCGGCCACCGCCGTACCCGCCCACAGCGTACAGCTTGCCGTCGAGCGCCGCCACGGCGTGATAAAACCGCGCCGCCGCCATCGGCGCCACTGCCTCCCACACGTTCGCAGCCAAGTCGTACCGCTCCACCGAGCTGGAAGTTGCGCCGTCCTCGCTCTGGCCGCCCACCGCGTAGAGCTTGCCGTCAAGCACCGCCGTGCCGACATACGTGCGTGCCGAAGGCATTGGCGCCACAGCCTCCTCCTCCCACTCATTCGTTGACGGGTCGTACCGCTCCAGCGAGTTGACAAACTCGCCATCGATGTCTTCGCCGCCGATCACGAGCAGGCGCGGCCTCTTGCGCTTCTTCAGCGTCTCCTTCCAGCCGCGGCGCCACGCGCGGCACGTCCCCTTGACGGCGTGCTCCGTGGTCGGCAGCTGGGCGAGGATGTGCGGGACGAGGTCCGGCGAGAGGAGGACCTCGGAGAGCACCCACTCGGGCTGCTCCGCGAGCCGTGCGGCGTGCTCCTCCGCCACGCGCATTGCGGCGGCGCTCCAGAGAGGCGCCTGCTCGTCGATGAAGGCGACGAGCTGCTCTGGCGAGAGCCCAGACAGGCGGGCGCCGATGCGGTGGGAGGCCATGGGAGCGGCCCGGCGCGGGCAACGTAAGCTGGGTTTTTCAAGCCCCCCTCCGAGACTAGGGACAGTCACCACATAGCAGCAGACCGCACCCCCTCCGCTACTCGGAGCTAGTGGACACGAGTCACGACACTAACTAGTGATACGAGAATACGCACCGCCCCTACGCAATACCTTATTATAATACAAGAATACGAGAATACGCAGCCGCGAGACGCCTAGGGAAAATTCTTTCTTTTACAAGACGTCATACGGAGAGGATTCCAAGCGCCGAGCACGGCCACAGGGTTCCGGCTCCTACCCAGATAGGGGTCTGTTTACCATGACTCGCACCAAAACGCCCTACCTACCTACCTATTGCGGGCGCCAATCGCCAGGCTCCGTGCCTCACCTACCTACCTATTCCCAGGCCGCGCAGCGAAGCGAAAAAATACCCGTGAGCCCTCTGTGAATAGGCTCCCAGCGCCCGCCGCGCGCCGGCTTGTACCGCGGTGCCGTCCCGGGCGCCGCCACCGCGGGCGCCGCCGCCGCACCCGTCTCGGCTGGCGTCCCAGCCGCAGGCGACTCGCCTGGCATCCCCGTTCGCGGCTAAACGCGCCTCTCCCGCGCAAGCGAAGCGGTTTCAGCATAGGCACCGGGTCTGGCAGCACCGGCTCAACGCCGCGCCCCGCGGTCGGTGCAAGCAGGGAATGTTCCCGCTGCTGCTCTGCTGCAGCCTCGAGTCGCGGTGCGGCCTCCGCACTCTCGGCGTTCGCCTCTCGCCCTGCTGCAGCATCCGTTCCCATCTCTGGCTGCCGTTCGCCGAGCGCCTCCTCAAAGCATGCGAGAATCTCGTCGCTCTGAAGGTCAGCCTCGAGCACGTCGTCGGCAGCGCGGATGCTCGCCCGGCCGGTCGGCCCTCGAGACCTCGCAGTGGCGGCCGCCTCTGACAGCGGCGGCAGCCTCCCAAGCTGGCCACGCATCATGCTGCGCTTCGCGGCAATCGCGTAACGGGAGGCTCGCTGGGTTTTTGTGGCTTTTTGGACGGCTTTTTTGGATTCTCCCGCCCTCCAACCCCTCTCTTGGGTTTTTTCTTTTGGTGTGTCGAGCCTGTGTGCTGTGAGAGAGAGTTCTTTTGTTTAAATTCTTTGGGGTGGCAACGAAGATTTCTTTGGCATCTCTTGCGGGTCTCGCCAGGGGCGCCTACCAACCTCGCTTGCGAGGGGCGTGTGGCTTGTCTGAACGGACTCGTGAGGGGAGCCTGCCAACCTCATTCGTCGAAGCGGCGCTTCGCTTCACAACGACCCCGCCGCAATCGTCGCCGGCGCGCGACAGGCTCCCGTCGGCCGGACTGCCCTCGACGAGTGGGTGTCGCCAACCAAAGCGACACGCACTCGAGGAGGTAGTGCCGACGGGACGCGCTCGAGGGCGACTCTCGCGAAGGCACGGCTGGCAACCGTGGCGCGGGGCTCGCGCTCGACAAGACCGGGATCGCTCTACCGGCATACCTCTCGCTGACATGGGCGCACCGTCGAGCTGACGGCGGGCGCGCTGAGGTCGCACGCCTCCCAAGTCATATGCCACGGCGTGCGATCTAGAATCAGCACACGCGCCTCTGCTTGCATACACTCATACATTGGATTGTCATTGCCTGTGAGTGTGAGATAAGGCTAGCGGTTGGCGGCTAGCCTCTGAGGAGAGTGACCAGAGACACCTCACAAGACCCCACACACGGTCTAGTCCGGCCTCGCGGTCGGCGGAGATTGCTAGAGGCCGAGCAAGCCTGCTCTGGCCTCACGCGTTCGCCCCTGTTGTCTGTTGTTTGTTGTGCCTTTGTTTGTTTCTCTTGGCACCTGGGAGTGCTGGGGGGGGCGATAGGGAGAATGTGGCCCTGAGTTATGTGTACGCCAACTCAGGGTGTGTGGCAGCCAGCTGGTTGTGTGTCTTGTGAGCCTGTTTGTGTCTTTGTGTCGCTCGTGCGTGTCGTCATCATCTGTCTCGCGTCCACCCATACCGCGTTGGTGTCCAGTCCGAGCCTGACTGTTGTTCATCTTTCTACATACATACAGATTTCTTAGAGGGCCGCCTCTTGTAGCGCTCCGCCCGCGTGTCTTTCTTCCTCCTAAAAACACCGCGCAAAAGAAATCTGCGTCTCTTCTGCCCGAGTCTGACAGGTAGCGCGTTTTGGGACGTGACCCACATGAGTAGTATTCATTCATGGATATGGTGCCAAACGTGCTCGAGCGCGCCGAAGAGAGACGATCTACGCTCGAGGGAGTTAGCGAAAGTCGCACGGGCAGAGGGGAGTCAGACCGAGGCCTCCGGCAGTCCGCACCGCCTCTCGCGAAAGGGAAGCAACGATCAACTCCAGCTTGGACTTGGGTGCGCCGATATTATGAGTACAATACTCAATACTGTTGTAATCTAGAATGGGCTTGGTCTGTGGCAAACCGGGTCGCGTCCCCCGACAGTCCCCCGATTTCCGTCAACTCAACCCTTCGCGACACCCTCTCTTGCGCCTCTAGAGACTAGACGCTCTGTGTACGGTAAAGCCGTAGCTCTACGGCTCGCCGCTCGCGTATACGGTATAGCGTCTACGACACGAGGCGGTATAGCGCGCCTACCACCGCTACGTTGTACGTAACGGCAAAGCTGAAATACGTGGCTGGGTTCACAGCGATTGTAGGGAAGTGTCGAAAACACTTGACGGTCGCGGCCTTCCGACTCGCGCCTCCGCCTCACTGGCACTATTGTAGCCCTGGCCGGTGCGCGTGTGAAGTTGAAGTTCCGGAGTGAAAATTCGAACGCGTTCTCTCACGGTGACCAAAAAATGTCCACCTCAGAGGCACCTCCGGAGGCAGGCTGCCGCACGCCGGCGACACAGCTCCAGCTGTCGAACTGACCCGCAGCTCCTCTCAGAGCGGGAACTGTGACGAAAGTTGACTGAGGCGGTTGTCAGGAATCATCATACGGATCACATGGTGACTCTCTCATGACGGGAGACCGCCCGACCACTCCTGGGTGGCACTGCCACCGGTGTCGCTCAACGTCCTGTCGACAGCGTGCCGACAGCGACACAGACCATGTGGGACGCGTCGAGTATCGACCTCTACTGCTTACCCAGCCTTCGAGTGTATCCTGGCTGTGGTCCCACACCCACTGGTGTCCATCTCAAAGACCGCAGGAGGTCATGAGGGTCGATGGGAGTGCCAACCCCACAATGCCTAAAAACCCAGCCCAGTATCTAGGAGAAGGCGATTTCGTTTCTAGAGCGGATTCTAGCGACTTCTTGCGGAGAGTTTCCTGGGATCGATCTCAAGTCTTCTTTGAGCCAGCCGCCAGCCCCCCCAAAACTGGTAGAAAGGGCGGGCTGACCACACATACACGCGCAGCGAAGGAGAGCGAGCTGTTGCCTCGCTCGACGCTCGCTCGCCCTAGAGGCCGAGCCAAGCCGCCAGCTGCCTCCGGACCGCCTTGCGCGCTGCAACCACCGAAGGCTGGTCGGTGGGCAGCGACGGGTGCGTCCAAGCGTGGTGGGAGGCGCCCGAGACGAGCAGCGCGGGCAGCTCCGGCGAGAGGGGCGCGAGGATGGAAAGGCCGTGCCACGGGTCCACGTCGCCTAACGCGCAGCGGTGCCACATCAAGAGAGGAGAAGAAACCCTCGCGACCACGCGACACGTCGCCGTCGCCGTTGGCGTACAGGATCCGCGTCGCGTTGTGCGGCGGCAGGTCGGGCCGGCTGCCGCCGTAAAAGGCGTTCGTCTCGGCGATGCGCCGCGCGATCTGCGGCTGCGAGATGGCGTACTCGGCGCAAAACGCGTCCTGCGTCGGCAGGAGGTCGAGGCCCTGCGTGAAGAAGCAGCGCGAGCCCTTCTCGCACGTCTGGTAAAAGCCGAACTCGCTGCACGTCTGGTAGCCTACTCACAGCTCTTCTGTTCACACCTCTCCTGTTCACAGCCGAACTCGCTGCACGTCTGGCAGCCCCAATAGTCGAGAGACTCGTGCAAGCTGCGCTCCGGCGTCTCCGCCGCCTCCGCCGCCGCCGCATCGTCAACAGACAAGCACCCGTTTGCCTTCGCGCACTGATACGCGGCGACCTCGGCGCCGTCGGGCAAGCCTTATGCACCGACACCAGAAGAGTCACACGCTGTGGCCCAATGACCATCACAGTCTCCCGCGCCGTCGGGCAAACCCCCGGCCGCGACGCAGCTCCTGACGCAAGGCTCGTCACCGCCGCACTTGAAGGCGCAAGCGAGGACGGAGGCGCACTGTGCGTCCTTCTCGCAGCGCGCGACCTGGCCCGCGCATACCCGGAGGGGTGAAGGGACTGGTAGGGGGGAGGAGGCAATCCTCGGGCAGCAGCGCGACCTGGCCCGCGCACTTTTCCTTGACGCACTGCTCCGGATCCACCACGGGAGCGACCGCAATCGCCTCCGCCGCCGCCGCCTCCGCCTCCGCCGCCGCCGCCGCCGCCTCCGCCGCCCGCCGCCGCTGCGCCCGCGCCTCTCCGCCTTGGGCGGCCTCGCCCGCCGCCTCGGGCGCCGCCTCCTCCTCCTCTGCGGCGGAGTAGAAGCCGTTTGCGAGGCCCGCGAGGCGCTCGAGGGAGGAGCGGTTCTCGCCGCTCGTGACGACGTCACAGACCCTTCCGATGGAGCAGCCGTAAGAAAGACACGCCTGCGGACCGGCGATGCACCAACAGAGTCACACCGGCAAACGGGGAGGAGGAGAATGGTGCTACTCCTAAGCAGCCGCGCCGGGTCGTTGGACTGGGCGGGGAAGGGGGCGACGCCACCGCCGGAGAAGCGGAGCTGGTTCGTCTCGCTCTCAAGCCTGGAGTGGCGAGGAGTGGGCGGTGAGTCCGTCCACGGGTGAGAGCGGCGCTGGCCCTGGCTCGCTCTCGAGCCAGGAGGGCTGCCGGCCGCGCAGCTCCGAGAAGAGGGCGACGAGGGAGGCGCGCCTTGCAGTGTGAGGTCAGGTGCGGTAAGGCTTGCAGTGTAAGTCAACCTTGCAGTGTCGCCAGTCTCGTCACCACCAGGGCCACCGCCACCACCTAGCGAGTGAGTCGGCTGCTGCTACGACGAGGCTACTGCTACGACGAGGCGCGCCCGGAGGCGGAGGAGAAGCGCCGCCCGACCTCGGCGTGGCCTCGTGCGATCGCAGCCTTGCAGGCGGGGGAGCCTGCGCCGGCAGCTATTCATGTTATGTTGTACTCCTTATGTCGCATGACCAGGAGCTGTTTATATTATTAGAATTGTTACGTGGAGCCTGCCAGGAGCGCGCCAGAGTGAGCGCAAGAGGCGGCGGGACAAGAGAGCGCAGCGCGGTTGGCAGGCAAGACACTGAGCTGTGATGTGCCTCATGTTGTATTCCATTGTGTTACAGGCCGGGGGGGAAGGCCTCCGACGGACGGCAGCGCATACGCGTCTGCGACGAGGTCGTTGTACTCGGTCATGTCGAGCTTGGCCTGCAGCAGGATGTAGGGGCCCTGAGTCTTGTGTAGGTGCTCTTTTTTTTTTCTCTTCTGCTGTGTAATCTGGCTCATGTAGAGCCCGCGCCTGCACCGGCGCCGAGGAGGAAGCGGAGGCGAAGAAGAGGCGCGGGTACCTAGCAGCAACAGTCACAACCGTGATCAAAACCATCGTTGTTCCTGGTAGATGAGTAATGAAGAGGCGGCTGCTTGATCCGCGCAAACGAGGCGAGCATGCCGGGGTACGACCCCCCGAAAGTGACCCACTTGCTGGCGGCGCTGATCCCGAAAGCGGAGGTCGCGTGCCGCTGGAAGGTTGCGAGGTCGGCGAGCGCCTGCCGCGAAGAGAGCCAGCGCAGCGGCTTCTCGTCCGACGGCGAGTACGGGCAAGCGGACATATTGTGGCAGCCATAGTAGCGGTGCTCGACGGCGAACATCAGCGCCCGCGTCTCGGAAAGCCACTCCACAGCGTTGTTACAGTGGACGCTCGACACGACCACCGAGCCGTCGAGAGCAGGACCCTCTCCGCCCACGCAGAGGAAGACGGGCGCGCCGCTCCCGGGCGTCCAGAACGTGGCGTTGACGTAGTAGGCCTGCTGCCACTTCGTCGTATCGGTGATGTTGAAGTGGTCGCGGCGCGTCTCGAAGAAGAGCGGCTTCGGGAAGTGTGGCGAGTGGACCGGCGCCGCGCGCAGCGTGTGCGGTGGCGCGTCCGTCATCGTGCGCAGGATCGGCTTGTGGGCTTGGGCAGCGAGCATCAGCGGCGAGCGTCTGCAGGCCTGCGTGGGAACGTATGTTTTCTTTTTCGGTGCCGGAGGCGAAGACCGCGAGAAGAGCTGGGGCGCTCCAGCCGCGGTGGCATTGTACGGCGCCGGCGCAGCGCGAGGGTGGGCAGCATCCTTCCGGGACGCGGCGCAGTCGCAGCGTGCAGATAGAGTCGGGAAGGAAGGTCGTGGCGATCGATCGCGTTTGTGTTGTCAAGAGTTGCGTCGGTCGAAACTCGGCGTTACGACTCCTTACTCCGATTAGGTCTGGAGCGTTTGCTGCCCCCCCTGCGCGTTGAACGGTCCTTGCTGTGACTGTTTGACATGGACAGCAACGGCAACCCCCACTCCGTCGCCGCGGCCCGGGTCCCCGGACGCGGGCGGACCGGGGACAAGGTGTGGGAAGACGAAGAGCAGAGAAACAAGGAATCAAGCCCAAGAAGGGAACTCAAACAAAGTATGTGAGAACACTTGTTTCTTTCGTGAGAGTGTTCCAGTCAAAGGAGCCTACGTAATGGACTCGGACCAGCCCAGCACCCGCTCAACCACCGGCCTCGCGATCTCGGCCATCCTCTGCTGGCCCTGCACGGACGGGTGGTTGCACCCGCCGACGTTCGCGTCGACCTGCGTGCGCGGACGTGTCACGGTTGTAGAATGAAGCTGGAGGTACGGCGACTGCGAGTGGAGAGGATGCGAAGCACAAGAGCGTCTCGACACGTGTGTGTGTGTGGGGGGGGGGGGACGTGCGCCTCGTACAGGCGCTGAAAGTCGAGCGGGTGGATGCGGAGCGCGCGCTGCGCACCGAGAGCGGCGAGGGCGTCCCTGACGGAGGAGGAGGCACGGGCAGGTGACGAGGGCCAGAGCGGCGACGCGGGTGCGACGAAGTGGCGTCGATGGAGGAGGGGGGGGGTGAGGGCAGCGGTGGCGAGGGCTGGGGTGGCGAGGGTGGCGGCGGTGGCAGCGCGCCAGATGTCGGAGCAAGGGAAATACTCGCCGCGGTGGTCGCCGCGAGTGCCCATCGGGCCGCAGGCAGCAAACACGGGCGGCGGCTCGGCCGCGGTCACGGGGGCCGGGGAGACCTGAGGGTGACGGGCGAGGGGACGGCACGTAGCACCACTGTAGTACCACCGAGTTCAGAGGCCCGGTGCGCAAGGGCGAGCGGTGAGGGCGGTCCTTGGAGGCGGGCCGCCTCGAGTCCGCCTGTCGGGGACACGTCGTAGACGTGTCAGGGACGTGGCGTCGAGGGCGCCGAAGGCGGGTTGCGTGTGCAGCAGCCCCACCCCAGACTCTCCGCTGCATCCGGGCTACAGCCGTGCATCCCGGCCAACGTACCTCCGCCGTGAGGTTGAGAAGCAGCTCGACGTAGGCGGCCGCAAAGCTGGCGACGCTCATCTCGTGGCCTATGGACGTCGGCTTGCCAACCAGTCACGGCCGCGAGCCAGAGCGTGTGTGGAGGCGGACTCGCGTCGCGCGTGCCCGGCGTGAAGTCGTTTGTCCCGAGGTGGACCAGCAGAGCCGAGGGGCGCCACGAGGCGGGGAGGACGTCGCCCGCGCCGGGGACGCCGCCGAGGACGGACCTGGGGCGGGGAGGGGCGGTCACGGTGTGAGATCCCGTCTCGGTCTCCGGAGATGGAGCGCCTGTCGCCTGGCCAGCAAGGGACCTCCCTGCCCCTCCTCCGACGGAGCAGCTGGCGATGGGTTTCGCCTCTCTGAGAGCACGACGGACCGCGCCATCTCGTCGAATCTCGGCGCATCTCAGCTCAGGGCAGTTCTCGGCGAATCTGGCGCGTGTCTCAACAGCGTATCTCGGCGACGGTACCGCGCCATCCGCGGCATCGTGCGGTTCTGAGGCGAGTCTGCCGCGTCGTTGAGCAGGACGCCGATGCCGCTCCAGGCGACCGAGTGGAACTCGGCCTCGAGCCTGAGAGAGCAGAGGGGCGAGAGCACAAGGGCTGGAAACCCTCGAAATGGACGGCGGTGAGTGGGTCAGCGAGGGCGAGGGTGCAGCCTGCGCCCTGGCTGTCGGACTGGCGGGTGCAGTCGGGTGATCTTCAGACTGTCAGGCACTGTCAGACTCTGTCGGGTGCCTCTGTCAGACCAGCTGTCGGGTGCTGCCAGAGCTGTCGGGCACTGTCAGGCGCTGCTGCCAAGCTGTCGGACCAGGGCTCAGTGTGCAGTGGGACGCGCGTGTTGCGCCTACCGGGGGGGGACCGTGTGGCCTTCCGCGAGATCACTCGAGACCACCCGAGATCACCCGAGAGCGCGTGCTGCGCCTGCACCCCGACACACGCTCGGCATCTACGGCGTGGCACATGCGCGAGAGCACCACCCCCCAAGCGGCGCTGTGGTCCTCCCCGTCGTCGCACGCGCGGTCGTCGCCCCCGCCTCTAACGCCTGCGGGTCGCGGCAGGGGCGCCGAGCCGATCAAAGAAGGTGGCCGGGCGGCGGCGGCGGCGAGGTGAAGGCAGCGCGGTGGGTCGATCTGTCTCATCGGTGCTCGCGGTTGGGGTCGATCTGCTCGACCGGCGCCCCAGCCGACAGTGATGCTGTCGCCGTAGAAGGCGAGCCTACCCCCGTCGTTTTTCTTTTTTGCGAGGTAGTCCGATGTGCGAGGGCGCCGCTCGGCCGCGTGGAAGGTGCACCGCCGCCCCTCGCGCCAGGGCAGCGCGGCCTCGGAGAGGTCGGAGCCCTGCGAGAGGGAGAGAGGCCGCGGTGTGTGAGAGGCGGGTCGGTGGGCAGGAGAGGGCCGGGGTGCTCAGAGAAAACAGACAAGCCGGCTCAGCCTCACCTCGTCGAAGATGAGGCCGCCAAAGATGGCGGCTCCGAAGCTGGGGCACCAGTCGCAGGGCGGCCTTGCGCCACACGCCTGTGCGTGTGTGTGCGGCGAGGGAGGGAGTCGGGGTCACGGCTGAACTCCGGGATGGGAGGGAGAGGATCCGCGCCTCGGTCAGCTTGAGGACCATCACGCCTCGCGGCTCGGCGGACAGACCGGAGAAGAGCTCGTACGAGCCGTAGTGGCCCCATGCAGTCTTACGGCCAGCGCTGGTGAGGATCTCGCGGTGGCGGCGGTACCTGCGTTGCGGATGCCTGTCACCGGTCGCGCCGCTATGGCACTCGGAAACACTGTTTCGAGTCGAGCGCCGTCCGGGTGACGTGTTGTGCAGTGGCGGCGGTGCCTCGTCAAGTTGTCGGGCCCGCTGAGGAGCACCGCGTAGCGGTTGGTCCGAGTCTCGTTGAGCAGGATGGACGCAGATGTCGTGCTCGATCGGAATAAAATGCTCACGCCGGGCCAATCAAAGCGCCTCGCAGAGCCGTGGCCGACGAACCGACCCGAGTAGTGCAGCAGCGGGCTGCTGGCTGGCACGAGAATCACAGGCGAAATGCCCTCAGGAGTGACTAGGGCGCGCATATGAGACCTGGGTAGCATATGCTCTGAGGTCACAGTATGTGGGGCATATGCTGGCCGACCTTTGCCCGAGGAAAAAGAATTTTTAGCATCTTCCGCGCACGGGGCACTAACACAGGAAAAAGAATTTGCGCTCCGTGAAAAGAATACAAAAAGACCCTCTCTCAAACTACGCATGGAACTGGCGCGCACTGAGGAAAAAGAATTTTATACGGAAAAAGAATTTTAGGATTAACCAACAAACTAAAAATAAAACTCTCGAGAAATGGCAGAGCGAGAAAGAATTTCTCTGCGGACAGTGCGATTTTTAGTTTTCCGGATCATGGAAGTACTGAGTACTGCACAAGCTATGTAACGCCGCGGGTTTTGCGCGTGACGTGGTCTCGAGTTGCTGCACTTAAAATGCTTGCTAACTTTTTCCTAGAACCGTTAAAATTGTACGTGATTAACTTAACCATAGTCTTGGTGAGGTGGTGAGGGGCGGTCGGGCCCCTCGTCTTCTTGTTGGTGGTGATGCTGTTCGGTTCTAGGTAATTCGTTAGCTAGCTCACGCTCGTTGTCGCGGGTGTCCCCTCGCGTCTCGATGTCTGGTCGTGTCCGTCTCTGAGCTTTTGCGTGACTTGTGCTTCTACCTCCATAATAACATCCGGTCACATACAGCTCGATCCCTACTTCCCTCTCTTCTCTACCATTGTTGGGCTGTTGCTGCATGGCTGGATTCAGTCTGGGGATGGTATGGTACGTGTACCCGGCTATGTCGACCGTCCTTGGGGCGGCAGGCGACAGGGCTAGGCCAGTCGTCCCGCGTGGGTGAGGGGGGCGCGCAAGGTATCTCTCTAAGTCGAGGAGTGTCTCTGGCTGTATTGCAGAGGGAGGTGGATTCAATGCTGTGTGGGTATGGGCGCACCGGTCGGCGAGGGCCTCGTCGGGGGTCCGCCTGAGAGCGAGAAGCGTGGCAAGCGGGAGGAGGGCAGGGCTCTCCTCGGGCCTGCCGCCGTAGCAGTAGTCTGGCAAGTCTGCACAGGGAGGTGAGTCGAGCAGTGGATTCAGTGCTAAGAGGGCGCGCTTCTCGCTTAGAGCTGCGCGGGGGTGCCGCCCATCTGTGGAGGCCTGTCTGCGGAAGAGTGGGTGGTTAGTCTTGCGGGGAGCATCATATAGGCGAGCCTTTCGGCCGATGATATTAAATGATATTATGTGGATTTGGCTGCCCGAAGGGCGATTGGGTGCCCGAGGGGCACCCCTCCCGTTCGCCCGCAGCCCGAGGGCGGCGGGCTCCCGAGGAGGGGTCTTCCTCCGAGGAGGGGTGGAGGCCAGGCAGGCAGGCAAGCAGGCCGGCAGGCAGGCAGGCAGGCAGGCTGGCTGGCTGGCAGGCTGGCAGCAGCTGCTGGCAAGCAGCAGGGCAGGCTCTCCGCTCGTCAGCCGCGAGCTGCGCCTGCGCGCGATGGTCGTGCGTGTCGCGCGGCCACGAAGGTGCCGCGCGCGCGTGAGCCTCGGCTCGCCCACCTCGTGCTGCAAGCAGTGCCAGCAGCAGGCAAATGGGCGCTGTTGGTGTTGTTGTGGTGTTGTGGCGCCCGGCTGCGCTCCGCGCGCGGCTGTGCGGCCGC